CAAATACAGTATTACTAAATGATACTAAATCATATACTAAATGAAGACAAACCTTTTCGCTCTCAGCGTCGAGAGCACTGGTGGCCTCGTCTAGCAGTAGTATTTCCGGGTCGCGGATCAGCGCCCGCGCGATGGCTATCCTCTGCTTCTGACCGCCACTAAGTTGAGTCCCTTTATCGCCGACGGGTGTGTCGTAACCCATTGGCAGTGACTTTATAAATGAGTGAATGTTTGCCTTCTCTGAGGCCCTTATGATCTCATTTAACTCTACTTTGCGATCGTTGTCTCCGTACGCGATATTCTCGGCTATACTGTAGCCAAAGAGCACCGGCTCTTGGGATACAATTCCCAACTTTCGTCGAAGCCATGGAATATTCAGATTTACGATATTATTGTTATCCAAACTCTGGAAATAAATTTTCTCATTAATTACATTATTATAAATACTAAAACATTGAGACAATTGGTAAAGTATTCAACAGATAAATGCTTACAACTTCTCCGCCGTCGGTGTCATAGAATCGTTGTATGAGTTGAATGATTGTACTCTTCCCGCAACCACTCGAGCCCACCAGTGCTACTGTCTGTCCCTTTTGCACATCAAAGCTAAGGCCTCGCAATACCTTCACATTANTCGGGTCGGGTAAGTGAACTGCAAATCATTGAATCTAACGTTTCCCTCGCATTTTGTTGGCTTATCTCCCGTTAAGGCATTGACCAGTATTTTAGGCATTCTGTCCAACAGTTTGAATATATGAACGGCCGCTACTCTACCCTTTTGATAGTCCGGCGCGAATGCTATACAAAGTTTTCAATGCAAAATTGTTTAATTATGTCAACAAATCTATATTTATCATCGCTTACCCACTGCCTGACCAACCATTGCTGTACCAAATATGACGGCCTCAACACTCCTGAAAAGTTGTTAAAATTAAAGTTAACTCAATCTCTATGTAATAATCATTTGGTAACAAAAGCATACTTAAAAAGATCGCCGTAATTAAGTTCCTGATCGACAATAAGTTTACTGCCGTAGAGAAGAGCGATAGCATAGGAGAAGTTACCCATACTTTGGGCGATACCGAAGGTTATGCCTCTGAGATGTGCCCGGATTTTGGACTTTTTAAACTGTTTCTCCAAAGCGTTGCTATAATTGTCAATAAAAGCATTTTCCTGATGAAGAGATGCAACCGTTCGGATACTACTGATGGCTTCCACAGCAATCTATTCATGTCATAGAAAATCCATTGTAAAAATTACAGTAAATGTTATTGTATTTTAGATGCACTAACCGATGAGGCGTCTTCCCGTGACTTTTTATCTTTAGTGATTTGTCCGCTAATTATTTTCATTTGGAAATAAGTGGATGCAATCACCAAAGGTATGAAACAGATTATAACGAGTCCTAACTTCCAGCTGTAGTACAGCGCCAGTACAACACCGGCGCCCAAAGTGGACACCGCCTGACAAAGGGTCGACAATCGAGAACCGGCAGCCTATCAGACAATACATTAATTAATATTAATGTATTGAAAGATTGCATAAATATAATGTTTGAGAGACTTACGCCCTGAACGCTGGACGCATCTGCCGATAGTCTGGAGCAAAGAGCACCCGTACTGTTGTCGCGTTCATCAAACCACGACACCTCCTGCTTCAACATCGTTGTGAATACCATTTTTCTGAGTCTCATTGTTAACCGTTCGCCGCAAATGCCAAACATATAAATCTTTGCAATTAAATCATAAAACATAATAATTTACTCTTAATTCTTCAAAAATAACATATATTTCATTGAATACCTGTAGAAATGCAGCGATTGATGTGCCGATACCCATCGCTACGAAACACATTGAATACAAGAGCACATCCTTCTGGATCTTATCGGTTGAGCCCTGAGATAGTGTTCCGAGGATTTCTCCGAAAACGATTGAAAAGGCGGGTATTGTAAGACCCATAAGGAATGCCATAACACTTCCCAATAAAATAAGATATTTATCCGGTTTTAATAAACCAAGCAATCGGACCAATGAGGGCGACTCCTTCTTCTCTTTGATGGCAACACTGGATTTCCGGCGCAGATCTATGTCTTCACTCCGACGGCTCTCAATACTGAAGGCGCGGGTGAGCTCTGGCTTAAAGACTCCGTTAGTTACTACCGTCGCATCCGCTTCGGTCTCAATCGTCTCGTTCTCGTCATCTTTTTGTTGTTGTCTTTTAACCAAATTATAATACAAGCCTTCGGTAGCCATGAGTTCCGCATGACTGCCCACTTCATCCACTTTACCGCCGTTTATCACAAATATCTTATCCGCGTATCTAATAGTCGACAGTCTGTGGGCGACAATGAAAGTGGTTCTCCCAATACTGGCCCTATCGAGTGCCGCCTGAACTATGGACTCGCTTTGCGTATCCAAAGCACTGGTAGATTCGTCCAGAAGTAATATTTTTG